AAACTAGCTATTTTTGATTGTAGAAAATATTTTAAGTGATTTGACATAAAAAATGGAATATCATGAATTATACAATACGTATTGATACTCATTATCAATAAAGACAGATATATAATGTGAAGATTTTATTATTTCAGACACACATTATCATGATTATGTCACGTTTTTAATGCACATACAAGTACATCTTGCCTTTATACATGTAATAAAGTATGTAAAAACTTAGCTAATGGCCCAGTAGCAGAATGGGCTTTCTCCCTTAAAGTCTAAATTTCTGTCATACGTCTCCAATCTGATAAAAAGCATATAACTAGATGCATTTTATTTACTAAAGAACAAATTTGAAGCAATAAACTCTATATGATTATATTTATTTTAAACATCATAAATTTACAAATATACAAAAATAGATTATATCAAACATATTGTATAATTCACTTTAATTATTTCTACTTAAATAAAATGTTTATAGAGGCATTATATTTTAAAAAGTTTTAACAGGAAAGTGTTGATTATTTATCCAAGATCATTTTCATACTGTTATTCAGTACATTGTACAGTTGAAAAATATAGCAGTTTACCGGTATATGTTTAAGATTTAATGTAATATATTCAATTTGTTAAATATAATTACCTTAATATTAACTAGAACTGTGTCCAAAGGACACTGATGCCCCCACTGACAACATATATATGGTATATAGTGAAAAAATCAACAAAGGGCCATAATTCTGTTAAATTTGGTCGCAGCAAAAAATTCCTTCCTTCACTACCATCTACACATTAAGGTTGTTCATCCCTGGAAGTTTAAGCAAAATCTGCCGACCAGTTTAAGAGGAGTTGCGTTCACAAAATTTCTATATGGTATATAGTGAAAAAATCAACAAAGGGCCATAATTCTGTTGAATTTGGTCGCAGCAAAAATTCCTTCCTTTACTACCATCTTCACATTAAGGTTGTTCACCCCTGGAAGTTTAAGCAAAATCTGCCATCCGGTTTAAGAGGAGTTGCGTTCACAAAATTTCTATATGGTAAATAGTGAAAAAATCAACAAAGGGCCATAATTCTGTTAAATTTGGTCGCAGCAAAAATTCCTTCCTTTACAAACATCTACACATTAAGGTTGTTCATCCCTGGAAGTTTAAGCAAAACCTGCCATCCGGTTTAAAAGGAGTTGTGTTCACAAAATTTCTATATGGTATATAGTGAAAAAATCAACAAAGGGCCATAATTCTCTTAAATTTGGTCGCAGCAAAAATTCCTTCCTTTACTACCATCTTCACATTAAGGTTGTTCATCCCTGGAAGTTTAAGCAAAATCTGCCATCCGGTTTAAGAGGAGTTGCATTCACAAAATTTCTACATAGTATATAGTGAAAAAATCAACAAAGGGCCATAATTCTGTTAAATTTGGTTGCAGCAAAAATTCCTTCCTTTACTACCATCTACACATTAAGGCTGTTCATCCCTGAAAGTTTAAGCAAATTCTGCCATCCGGTTTAAGAGGAGTTGCGTTCACAAGATTTCGGGACGTACAGTCAGACGTACGGACGGACAGACGTACGGACGGACGGACGGACAAGTGCAACGCTATATGCTCCCACTTTGTGGGGGCATAAAAATGATAAAATCTTCATTTATTTCTGCTGCTGAAGCCCCTTTGGTAATTAATTATTTTTTTAATCTAACAACTGACCAGTCAAAATACTCTGAAACTTTCTATTAATCTCTGTGTTTACATCAAGTGGCCGTAGTTTGTATACCTCTTATTTACTACTTCCGCTTATCAGCAGCGTGTGGGAAACTCCCCCCGTGAACTTCTTTATGAATTGTGAACGCTTGAGAAATTCCTCCCAGTAAACATTTTAAACTGATTTTAAGAATTTTCATGAATGCTCTAGTGAATAGCCCATTCAACATAAGAATTACCAAGTTACGAATGATATTCTATAAGTTTCGTCGAGACTAACGATAACTGTCACAATCATGTGCATACAGAATGACACCCGAACTCTTCTGGTACATATCATGTTCAGTGTTCGTGATATATTATTTTTGATGTGTTCAATAGATGATAATTTCAAAATTTCGATAAATTTGTGTATATTAATGAAGCATTTATTAATGTCTACACAAATACGTAAGTGTTACGTATGAAACACGACAGTTCAATTTAGAAACATATCTTGCAGTGATTCCTAGATCTAAGAAGAGCTGTCAGTAGGACAGCGTGCTCGACTATTCTCGGTGGGCATTATAACGTAAAACAACGTTGATACAGTGACCTCTCCCTGTACACCGTTTGAGATTATATGATGGTGAACAACTGTGCAAAGTCTCAAAGCCATATGCCCATGGATTACAAATAATTAAAAGTTCAACTTAACATCAAAAACAATTGGTGCGCCGCGCCGTGGTTATTCATTATCACAAAAAGCGTGGAACACAATATTTAAATTTATCTTATACTCAATTTGTAGAAAACTACCCATTTGTCAATGGACTTGGATATTTGAAGTTATACGAAAACTTTAACATAAGCGGTTACGCTTACACCGACACCGACGCTGCGGATAGCTCTCATTCTTCGAGCTAAAAATCAAACGCTCTTACAAAATTTCGAAATAACCGATGCCAGTGAAAGCAGTTTAAACTTCTTGTTATAAATATACACCATCACTGAAAGATACAACGAAATTTAGCGTCCATTAGCAGCGACCCGATATTACAGTAAACAAACTTCACATGAATACCAACCCTATAGTACTGTATTTTTAATCAGTAATAAACACCATATAAAATACATAACGCTGTTTTAAAATCTGGCGGAAGCCCACAATCAAATGTCTTCATTTTGTTTGTGAGCTTTTTTGGTATGAGCGAACACGTTTTTAGAAACCGGTGCCGGGGCAAAAACAGTTATAGCAAAAACATTCAGTAGTTTAGATTATTTGGAACAAATAGACATTCAATAGGTTAAATATATAAATCGATTTTATCCGACCATGGCCGTTTTTATGCCAACTCGTTTTTTACTAATGAATACTAGCAGGGTTTTTTTTCTTGTTGTTTTTTTTCTTTGTTTAATTGCAACCACTTTTCCTTTATTCCAAAGTTATAATATTTGAATAATAAACATATATACAATATATAATGGTGTTCAAAATGTCAGATATACATGTACATGAATATATAACTTACATGATATGTCTCCGAATACAATCAGTTTATCAGACGGAGGTTTCCGTGGTGACGGTTGTTTCACCTCAGAATCTGAAGAAAATATCAAAATACAATTCACATAAAACATCATCTGTTTACATTTATATAGAGATCATATTATTACTACAAAGAACTAGTGCATGTTTATCTGAAATTTACGTGATTTGAGATGTTAGCAAGACATCAACATATTTATCGTCTATTGAAAATTTCAAGAAATATTGACAATTTCAAAAACAAGATTAATGGCAATTCTAAGAATTTTACAGAATGTTACAACATAACCTTGATTAAAAGGTTTATCTTCTTAACATTTTGAAAGACTAAGTTCTAACTGGACGAAGATACATAAAATAAATTCAAATAAAGATATTGTTTTCATTATTATTGTAATTTATCATCATCATCATCATCATCATCATCATCATCATCATCATCATCATCATCATCATCATCATCATCATCATCATCATCACATCATATAATAATTACTTTTATTATTATTATTATTATTGTTATTATTTCATTATTATTATTATTATTATTATTATTATTATTATTATTATTATTATTATTATTATTATTATTACGCTTTTACCAAATGAGTGCATGCAATTAAATTCGTAATCTTAATATGTATATGTCCATGCAGATCACTTGTGAATATACTTTAACAGGGAATAATTAGATAAAAGTTTCAATTACTAGTAATTTGATCAAATTGTAAAATCCGTTATAGACATTTCTTTCATTCGAGGAAAGTATAGTTGGAAGCCCCCAAACGTCCGATGAATATGAACTCCAATATACGGGCAACAGCTGTATCTTATAACTTACATGAAAACTAACACTGTTAGCATATGAATCTTTTAAATAAATCAGTCAAAAAATGATGCGTTGAAGAAATGACTGAGACGATGTCTCCTACTACTATCGACGAAGATGATGGTGCTGATGCTGATACTGCTGCACTTGTTGTTAATACATAACAATGATGATGATGATGATGATAATGATAAGGATAATGATGAGGATGACGGTGATGATGATGATGATGATGATAATAATGATGATGATAATGATGATAATGATGACGATGATGATTCTGATGATGGTGATGATGCTGATGATGATTAAGGTGATGATGATGATGATAATGATGAGGAGGGAAATGGTGATTATTATGATGATGATGATGATTATGATTATGATGATTATGATAGCGGTGATGATGATAGCGGTGATGATGATAGCGGTGATGATGAGGAGGAGGCGGAGAAGATGATGGAAGAGGAGGATGATGGTGGTGATGATGATGATGATGATGATGATGATGATGACCAAAATCATTGTCATCATCATGTTGAGATAAAGACATAATTTTTACTATAACCATGATAACAGACATTTTCTTTAAAACAAAGACAAAGCAGGTAAATACAACTTAAAATAGTTAATTGTCCAAAAGCAAAAGAAAGGAATAAAAGATATCTTAATATTTAGTGCAGTGTCTTAATAATAAACAAACATTTAAACGCTTAGAAGACACTTGCAAAATTAAAACAAACGCTAAATAGAAAGTGGTTAAAATACTATTATTATAAGTGAAATGAATTTAACACTTAACATAGCTTTTAAGCTTTACTTATTTTGTGCTGCGTAAAAAGAAACTCTCATATAAGATAAATTCTTAATCAATAAAATGAAGGGGGGAACTAGCTGCAAAGCAAAATTATCTAGAATGCAAACACAAAAACTGTTTAGAATATGGGAGAAAATAAAATGTTGACAGTGTAGAAAGACATTAATTATGACTATACGCATGTTTCTAGTTTGAACCGTTTTTTTTTTCTTCAAGCAGCGAATATTGTTAATAGCGAGTTTAGTAATAATTTGGAGCATCCTTTGAAATAAGGTTATTCAAGAAGCCAAGGTTGTTAAGCTACGACATTCATCACGTGTCTATGATAAACAGACTTGATTCCAAGAACAGCAAAATATAGTGACAAAGCAATTATATGAAAACTAAAACGACCATGCGGGGAAAAGCAAAAAAATACATTTTTGTATTCATATAAAACATTCAAGTCACATATAAAAGCAGGCATAACCTGAGAAACATTAAATATGTAAGATTAAGCCAGAAAACAGACAGACAGCCGGGTTATTTTTACAAGTACATTTTGTTAACTTGTAAATTCAGGGCAAGCAAGGTTATCTTTCACAAAACGCCATGCTTTTTAAACCTACAAGAACTTTCTGTAAGTTTCGGTGTTGTTGGCGTATTCTGTCTCTTTGGTATTCCATTTGTTTCCTTTTGATCTAAGTTCCACGTGACATTTTGTGTTTTCGCTTTCGTCTTTGGAATGTCATCGTCATTTCCGGTTTTAATTGTCCCATTGCAAACGAGGCTATTCTGCAGACGACCATTTAAAGTACTTCCGGTTTTTATTGGAGAATTTATTCCGTATAGGTTCAGCTTAGGAACAACTTGGCTTTTACTTGTGTTTGAGTTAGACTGGATCTTTCTAGCTTTAATATGTATGAATATATTAATAAATCTAAATAGATCTATGCTTATGAAATTATTCCAGATCACATAGCCCTTCTTTTGGTCAAAATGTGAACATGTCAATTATGAAAGAAACATACTTGCTGAAAATTCACCTAGCATTTTCATAACTGGATGTTTCTAGCTAAAATATTATAAGAAAGCAGCACTAGTGTGAAAAATGAAACCAATCATGGCCAGCAATCATAATACTGACATTTGTCAATACAAGACTTTTCTAATCATAAAAAACAGAATCAAACAAAATGGTATTCAAGTTACTGTCCAGACTCTCAAGCCAATTTTAACTTTTATAAGTATTATAAGTATTGTAATACTAACTGAATGGTACATGCCTTATATGTATTACTTTGATCATACATATCTTAACGAAACTATTGACACATGTAAACCTAAGAAAGATGATCTGGCACGGACGTTTCTATTCTTACCATGCAAGTAACACGAACCTTTAAAATGGATAACTTCCGGTTGAGAGATAATTTATGCAAATAAACAAAGAAAGTATTGAATAATAATGAAAATGAAAACGCATTTTGTCATTTGGAGGACGATGCTTGCTTATGTGATGAGAAATGATGCCAGTTAGAGAGATTATTTGACTTTGTCTTCTCTACACATCTACATACCGCTCAAAATTTATTAGTTTTATAATAAAAACTGATATAAGATCGATAATTTACATATATTCGAAACATTTACAAATCAGCAAATCAAAAAACACCTTACCAAGCGAACTAAAGCACAATATCCTATTTTAAACATCTAAAAGCCCTAAATTGAAGAAACTTTTTTGTGGAAAAAAGGTGCAGTCATTGTTTACTTACAATTTTGTACAAACGAGTTGTCGTCTCTGTTCCCGTTAGTTGTTGGACTCATTAAACCATTTCTGCTAAATGACGTCAGTTCCCCCACAGGCGGTGTTTTGATACCAGGACTTCCGGTTGTGTTATAGGTCTGGTAAATTTGTGACTGTGGTGCATACACAGGTGGCGTGTAGGGCGGGGTTCCGGGCGACCTCTGGCGAGATGGAGACAGGGCAGGGGGCAAGGAAGGAGATTTAGGGAGCTGTCGCTCGGACTCTTTATCTCCAGTATCTTGAGATTCTGCAAGATAAAAATAAAAAATTAGCGAATATTTAAAATTTCATTGTAGTTTCCTGTCATTTTGTTGAAAAGGATGGAGAATTAAAAAAAAGCACTCATGTATAACGAGAGAAAGGCAAACCATCATATACAAATCAAGAGAATGAAATGATGCTGTCTCTTTTTTATTGAAAAAAAAATCTAATTATTCGGAAAGGAAAAATGTCTTATCATACAAAAAATACATCCTGTCACATAATGTAAATTTAGTAAAAAGTAATAATGAGCAAAGAATAATCAAGAACAAAAAACTGAAGATGGATATATATCTGTCCTGTTATGTGAGAATACATGTTTAAGCAGGCTACAAATAAACAGTTAGATGTTAATAGAAGACTCAAGAATAAAGCAGGTAAATAGATGGCGGATTTTTCAAAACAGTTATGTAGCCAAAATACAGGTCTTCAATATGCCCACATTCACCAAAACCACCCTCAAAACCTTTTAAAAACACTTTAAAAATTTAAAATGAATCGTTAAACCTTTTTTTACGGTTGGCCACAGAGTTTGTTTTCCCCAAGGGTAATTATCTCGTTCCCACGAGATAATCTCGTTCCCCACACATTTAAAACTCGTTCCCACAGAAAAAAAAGGTGTTCCCACGACAAAAAACCCCTTTAACGCCCGGAAAAATTTTTCCCCTTCAAAATTAAGGGGTTCCCACGAGATAATACTTTGTTCCCCAAAGAGATAATACCGTTCCCCCGAAATAAATTCTCCCAGTTAAAAATCTTGTTCCCAACCCAAATAATATTCAGCACAATCAAAAACTCAGTATAGTGGAAAAATTTAAAAGTTATTTCCCTTTTTTTTTAACAAATGACTAAAATGGACTTTAACAATCAGGCTAATATTAGAAACCTTATATCAAGATACTTTCATGAAAGATTGAATTACCGGCAAATAGTGACTGTGTTGCGAGAACAACATGGGATATTATTGTCAATAAGACATTTATATAGACTTTTAAGGTCTGAAGGACTTCAACGAAGGTCGTACTCTGATCCATCTTCAGTTATAGACTTCGTCCAGAATGAACTCCAACATTCCCATTACGTTGTGGATAAGGAATCCCACACTCGGTTTGAGATATGTCAAAAAACTCGGCAGAGCCTCATTTTTGTACAAATCCAAACCTCGTGTGGGATTTCCTTATGTACAACTTATGGAAGTGGTCTATTCACTTTATCTCTAAATGTGACACGCCGTATCATTATAGTAAACATTTATGCAAAGTTATTTCAAAATTCCTTCATGGATAAGAAAAAGAAACAGACAGGACGAAATGAAGACAGACAGACGGACAGACAGTTCGAAAACTATCAAAAATCATTCAAATTGTATGGTAACGAACCATCGTACCATTACGAATCTGATCCACACAGCAAAATGCAATGATTTAAAATTGCCCTAACGGAACTCTGTACTATTCCCACTGAATACCTTATCGCAGACGTCTAATTAACAGTATTTTATTCCTGTATGACTATGTATTCTTAACAATTTCTTCGCAGTTAATGAATTTCGCTCCTATCTGTATTCTCATGTCTCGTCGCATTTAAAGTTTTTCTCTCCTGTATGTATTCTCCACCTCTAGTCACATTTAAAGTATCTTTCTCCTGTATGTATTCTCATGTCTCGTCTCAGTTAAAGAATTTCTCTTTTGTACGTATTCTCATGTCTCGTCGCAGTTAAAGAATTTCTCTCCTGTATGTATTCTCATGTCTCGTCTCAGTTAAAGAATTTCTCTCCTATATGCATTCTCACGTCTCGCCGCAATTAAAATCAAAGCACTGAATGTACTGATGGGGAGGCTATGAGAGAATGTTTCAGACTTATAGGTTCTTTTTTTTTTGCTTAAAAATTTGCTCCCCAAAAAAAAAAAATCACATGCCTATTTATCCTTACTTTTTTTAAACCCTTTTCATAATACTTAGGGTTAAATTTTGGGGTTGGGATTTATTCTTTTTTTAATTTCCAAACATTTAATTGGGTCACTTTGGGGAGGGGAATCATCCCAAATTTTAAAAAACCCAAACTGTCAAAAATAAATGACTTTCCCAGCAAGATACGCCCTTTTCTTTAAAACAATAAATAACTTTTTAAAACAAGGGGTTCCTTAAAAAAATTTCTGGGACTTTTTCTTTCATAAATACTTTTTTCATTTTAATTTTATGAATAAATGAAAAACAACTGCAATGAGCAAAATTTTTATTAAAACAAAAAATTAAACACGTTTAGTGTACCAAAAATTGAGATCAATAAAAAACGGCTTTGATGAGTTTTAAATTTTATTCATGCCCCCGGGACAAAAGGGTTGTTTTCCCCAAAGAAAATCTCGAATAAAATCACTTTTTCAGAAAATTTAACCCCATTTCTTTACGACGGGTGGGATAATAAAAAAAGCTAAATATTTTTTTAAAAAATAACATTTCGGCAAAGCTTTTTCAAAAACTGAATTAACCTAATTTAAAAATTGACAAAAAGGGTTAACCTTTTTTTACCCCCAACACTAAACCAACTTGTTTTATTTAACGAAAGTTTCACGTTGTTTTTTAACCCCCACACCTTAAAATATATACGCGGAAAACTTTTTTAACGGGGTGTGGGGTTTAAAACGTGGGGTTTTCCCCGTCCCCCTTTCCCGAAAATTAGTAGAACATCGAACCCGTCAGTGTATGAAGGTTTAAAATGGCGTTTTTTGGAATTTTTTTGTTGAAACTTTTTCCAAAAAATTTCCAGAGGGGGCACTTTGGGGAAAAAGGCACAGGAAGGTCAAGTCAAGTCATCATAAAGTCCCAGGGTGTTTGGTTGCCCCCTGTGGGGACTTACTCGGGAGGTTTGGCTAATAGATCCGTTTTTTTTTGTCTCAGTAAAAAAGTTGATCCCTGACGGTTTTGCTTCCCCTTTCCCAACCAAAGAAGGGGAAAGAAGGCTTCCGGGAAAAATCTCTTAAAAAAACCGCCCCAGACAAAACCGGACATAGGGTTTTTCCGGGCCCGATATAAAAATTTTTAAAACACACACACTTTTTTTTAAAACAAAACAACAACACTTTTTCTTTTAGAATTTTTCAAGTTTTTTAAAATGAATAAAAAATTCCTTTTTTTGCCCCCCCATTTTTTTTAGAACTAAACCAAAAAAAGTTTTTTTTTTTTTTTTTTTTTAAAAATAAACATTAATCACTTCAGCGCGCGCAAATATCGGTTTCAAATTAAAGTTTCGTAAGATATGTTAATGACTTCCCGATGCTCGACTGTAAGTAATTTGTGTATGTATGCGGTTTTTTTTTTTTTTTTTTTTTTTTTTTTTTTTGTTTTTTAATTAAAGCTTCTTATTCTTTAATATTTTTTATGTATCTCATAATCTGTATTGAAAATTTGAATTTTATTACACATGGACTATCAAATTATGATGTATGCCCTAGAATTGAATAAACTTTCTAATTACACAATACGGGGTCATACTGATCTTTGCGTCTTTCTCTGAAATAATTATTTCCTTGTTAAAACATATTTGACCACAAATTTCTGTCAATTAACTGTTCACTTTACTTCCGATTTTGTTGTACGGAAACACATGTTTCTATTTGTGTTTTCTAATCAATTCGAAACTATAATCAGTTTTTAATGGGATCACCACCGCGCGTTTAAACGACTACTAGAGTACTTTGGGTCATGTTTTTTACCACAAATTTTTGAAATGTTTTCTATTGGATTAAAATGAGCCATAAGTTAACTAAACAACTGTTTGTATAATTCCTGAAACCTGTCTAATTAATTATGAGATTAATGAATATATTAAGAACTTTCACTAAACAAAATTATTCCTTTAAAAAAAAAAGAGCACATGTTTAAAATTTTTCCTATACAAATAAAAAGATCAGAGTGGGATTCTGTCAATTTTGCCAAAGAATACTTTTTTATGGTTAAAAGTTAATTTTTAATGAATTTAATGTAAGATGAAAATATAAGTATTAGCTTTTTTTAATTTTTGCCTAATGTAAAATTTTAATATTGTGCTGGAATTTTTTCGGAGGTCCTTAGGGGTTTTGTTAGTTTAAATAGTTTTTTTCTGGCGGATAATGGTTTTAAAGGGAATATAATGTTTTTAAAAAATTTTTTCATCACCCTCAGTGGGAATTTTTTGTTAAAAGATAAAAATTTACTAAACACTTTTAAACATTTTGCGGTTTTTGACCCCTTTTTTTTCCCCCGACAGGGCCCCTGGGGGGTACAAATAAGTTTTGTTTTCCTTTTTTCCCCGGGAAGCAGATCCATGTCTCCCGAAAGTAAACGAAGTTTAAAAATTTTTTCTTTTAAAAAAAATTAAGGCCCATTTTAATTTGTTTTAAAAAAAAAACATGCATATATTTTAGAAATTGGTTTCAAAAATTTTAGTTTAAAGACCCCTCAAAAACATTGCGCTGGGGGAGTAATTGGAAAATTTTTTATCAAAAATAAAAAGAATATTTTCCACGAAAAAAGCATTTTTCATAAATTTTCCCTTTTTCTTTTTTTTAAAAAAAAAATTTTTTAAGTTTTATTTTTAAGGGTTTTATACCAGAACATTTTTAAAAGACGTACTATGCCTAACCCGATTACCGCGGCCCTTTTGGGCGCCCCGAGTAGTGATTTTTAAAAAAAAATCAAGAATTTTTTTAGAAATATTTTCCTTTTCAAAAATTTCAAAATATAAATTAAAAAATGAAAAAAATTTTCATATTTTAAGCTTTTGATAGTGATGAATCAGCTTTTTGAAAAAATCAAGGGAAAATTTTTTTTACCTTTTATTTTCCGCGGGGAGTAAAATTTACAGGGGGGGTTTTTTAACAATTGGGTCCCGGGAAAAAGCCTCCCCAAAAAACCCCTCCCTGTATTTTCCCTGTCACGTCGCAATTAAAGAAGTCTGTTCCTGTTTATATTCTTATGTTTCGTCGCAGTTAAAGATTTTCTCTCCTGTATGTATTCTCATGTCTCATCGCAGTTAAAGAATTTCTCTCCTGTATGTATTTTTCTCTCGTGTATGTATTCACATGTCTCGTCACAGTTAAAAATTTCTCTCGTGTATGTAT